AAAGTAAAATGTATATTTTTAATTGAGCATTTTCTTTCATATTGAAGTGTTGTCAATGTTCCAACACTTATATTAGTGACGGGCATAATCGAGTGAAAATAATCGAGTTACTCAATCGTTGATAATAAATGTGATTTTTCACTCAAACTATAGTACATTAGTAACTCTAGTACTTGTCACTCGACTACCGAGGTACCTTATTCGAAACACTATTTTGGAAACCTAAGTCTAAACTCCGAACAACGTTAGCAATTGAATGAATAATGTTAGTCATTGCTTGGTATTTATAATAATTAATTATGGTACACTATATTATTATTATTGTTGCGTACCGTGTACGTTATTACATATTATAATTATTGTAGACAACGCTTTTCCAACACAAAATAAAATAAAATTGTGATTGTATAAAAAATATTTTTACTGGTGAAAAATGTATATATATATTTTTTATTGTAATTTTAACTTCATAAAAATACTAGCTGATCCCGTGCACTTCGATGCCCGTTGAAAATGCCAAATCTATACATGAGATTCGCTTGTTATAATGCGAGCAATATATTATCAGGTAGGATATTATATTATACTATTGTTATCGTACCCCACGCTAGGTAAATACTCTATATGAGTAATATTTTTATTTTTTATTTTGAATGTGGATACGCCGATGAGCGGCTATATGTACAACTCAACCATATTAGCAAGCAATTTGTGAAAATTCGATTAGTTATTAGTTATTTTTTACCAATAACTAATGTAACACTATTGATTATAAATACTTATAATAGATACTCAGATAAAATTAATTGTTTTTTTTTGCTGAACTAAATAATTATAATATTTGTTTATCATTCCACGTCAATACCGACCTGCCTAGAAGCATCTGTGGTTGTCGAGTTAGATTGTTATTTATTTTCAGCCAGTGACTATTTCTTACTAAAAAAGGTATAGGTAGATATACAATTTACACATTTATTTTAATTAATAATAACTAATTATTTATTAACTTTATCTACTAAATGTATGCCTAAAGCCTTCTCTGTAATGCCCTCTTTAATTTAAAAAAAACTGCACGACGATTAAATAGGTAGTTTAGGAGTTTATCCTGAACAAAAGAAAGCGACTTCATTTTATATAGTAGTATAGAATAGATATAGATATAGATATATATATAGATTTAGATATGGATATAGATTTAGATATAGATAATAGTACCGGTAAAAATTTAAAAGATAACGTTTTTATGAATTTAAACATACTGATTTTTTTTGATTGAAAATCTTCCATTGCAGTTTTTAAAAATTGTACTCTATTAATGATTGAGGTTGTGCGGTTGTTAAAGTGAATGCTACTTTGTTATGTATAAATATCAGTTTTTAATCTCTCCAGAGTATAGATAAATTGAAAAATGTTTGTTTGTACATTATAAAACACCAAGTTGAACTTAGAATGAAAAGCTTCATAACTGTTTGTAGTTATCATAGTAGTAGCCTAAAAGGTAATACTTGTAAATAAGTGTACCGTTAACACTGCACAGTAACAATAATTTTGTTTGTAATCTTTTATACTAATTCTATAATACTAAAATCATTGATAATAACCAATAATTTCGCTTTTAAACATTTAAGATATCACAGGTAATGGGGACGCAATTCAGAGGTCCTCAACAAAGTCCGGGACGCAATTAATATTATACCTTTTTATACGGGGAGTAATTCGTAAGCAGCTATTATTTTTGTATCCTTTTAAATAAATATTCTTTCATTTTGTACTCGCTTGCACGTCCGACACTGTTTACTAACTGTTTATTTGTTAATTTGTTTATTTTTAAAATTTAAAAATAAGGCTGGGTAGTGGGTATAGTAAACAACGTTTGATAGTATGGGAAAGTTCCGGGACATTTGCGGTAGGCTTTTTTCGTGCCATTTGCAGTCAATTTATTTCTATTTACCTGATTATGCAATTTAAGGTGCTTTGTATAACGTTATACTCTAAATACATATTATATTATGAAAATGTGTTTAAAAAGTTTATTATTATTATTTATACGGGATAAACCGATTTGTGATACAGCCATTTGGTTGTTTATGCATATTCGATGTCATAAACGATAAGGCAATAACGTCTGATATATTTATTATATCTGTACATTTTATTATTATTCGAAAACATCGTCGGTAATATTAACTCAGTTTATAGTATTGTATACGCATTGGTAGTATTTGGTACAGTTCGATCTGTCAGTATTACAGTGTTTTATTGTTAAAATGTAAATTTAAACGCATTAAAAATTAAAATTAATTATTATATGGGTTATTTATAATAATAATCATAATAAGCTTTTAAAAGTAAAAAATACTGTCAGTCCTAAGTCTCGAAAAGTGTGAAGGGAAGTTAAGATATAATTAAATAGTAAATATATACATATTAAGTTTACTGCAATACATTTATATATATTATATATAGCATCCAAATTTTATAGACGGGTAAATAGAAATAAATTGATCGCAAATGGCACAAAAAAGGTTTCGACCGTAAATGTCCTGACTGCATCGATGACTACACCGTATGGGAACATTAAAAAAAAATTGTTATTTGCCAGGTGTGCAAAAAAAGAGTTTTAGCATTATGGGACTTCGACTAACTTTAAATGTGTATTTTAAACTCTTAAGACGAATTCATACATATGCAGCGTCCAATTTTTATTTAAATATTATTATTAATTGTTTTTATTATTTTTCGTATTTTTTATTACTAATAAATTTTATTTCACGTGTATTTCGGTAATGAGTCTTATATGCTGTAGCATACATGGTGTATTCATTATGTACAATTTTATGAATTTTTAATTTTGAAATATCAAATATGTATTTTATTTTCTGTATATAAACATTGGTGCAGTTTCAGTTTTTAACTTTGAGAGGCTTTAAGTATTTAAATGAATCAAACCTATGAGGAGCTCTGCCCCATAGCCGGTGATTAGGGGGGGCGTATCCCCCCCACCATTCAATCAAATCTCCGCCAATGTTCTGTCCGGACACCACCGGTTCAAATATCATTTCAATTACCAATATCGTATTTTCCACACTCACTGTTCTAGTAATAATTAAACTAATAAACCGATAGTCATGGCACATTTAGGAGGGAGCACTGGCTCCCAGCAGTATTTTGTGGGTGCCAAAATGTTGTGGTTCATGAAGATTTATCTCCCATCTTTCTCGTTTGTCTGAATACGGCACTGACGATCAGCAATATCCTTATAATTAATGAGTAGAGTAAAAAATTACTACTATTAAAATATCAGTGTGACGTAATAACATATAACGTAATGACATGGGGCCGTTGTAAAAGCTAAAACCATATTAAAAATACACTATTATATCGACTATATTGTAGACTTATTTCTAGAATATTATCAGTAAAGTATTGTAATTACCAATCTTTATGGTTCCGTAACCAAAGGGTAAAACGGTATCCTATACTAAGACTTCGCTGTCCGTCTGTCACCAGGCTGTATCTTATGAACCATGATACTTAGATGGTTCAAATTTCTACAGATGACGTATTTATATTGCCACTACAACAATAAATACTAATAATAAAATAAAATAAATATTTAAGTAGGGCTGCCCTACAACAGACATGATTTTGTGGCCGTTCTTATAGATTATGGTACGGAACCCTTCGTGCGCGGGTGCGACTCGCACTTGGCCAGTTTTAATACTATTATTAAACTTGTATTTATGTTCTGTGGATGAACCGATATCTACAATGGATAACACACAAATAATTATTGTTTATCATCATTGTTTAAACCTTAGTTAAATAATTTTTTCGAACAACGTTTACTGTATTATTTAGATTAGATAGTTAACGTATGATTTAATACCTAAATTAAAATATACATTTTTAAAGGGGCTATGCTTTAATATAATCTTAAATAAATTCCAAAATTCTTATTTTTAAATTGTATCTATCTAGCTTTGTGGCGTTTTGTCTTGAATAGCATGGCGTATAATTTATAAAATCTATATCATTGACATTTGCCTGAGCGTGAGGAAACTTATATGCGGGCGGTGAGCCGTTGGTGCCCGGTACTCGATAACGCATTTTATGAATTACACACACTAACATTCATTTACATCTCACCAGTGGCGGCTCTTGGGTAAAATAGTTGGTGGTGCACATTTATAAAATATATATTTAATACTTTATGTAGAGTAATAATTAATAATAAATTCGGTACATTAGAAAAACTAAACTTTATTAATATATTTTTAGGTAGATATTCTTACACAATGATATTATACATTTTTCTTAAATATCCATATTTCTATGATTATACTGTCTATAATAGGAGGTATTTACTATTTATAGAAATAAGTAAAGAAAAATTATCACAATATTATTATTATATACCGTGTACAACGTTCCGTGGTAGCGGTAACGTCTGGGAAACGACCTCCACCCATCACCCGATCATCTAAGCGACGCCGCTGTTGTCGTTTGTATATTTGTGAGTACAAATTATCTGTGAACAAGTTCCATGACGAACACATAATTTATATGTGAATAGTGGGAATGAAAATGTTTATGCGCATGTGTGAACCGAGCAAATTTCCAGTGTGCTCAATCCAATCGACGTCGCCGTCATCGTAAATTCGTAACTCGTAGCTGTTCCTTAGACACAGTTCACAACAGTGGCGGATATATCCTAGTTCTAAGGGGGGGGGGGGGTAAATTTCACAGAGGTAATGACTTTCAACCACTCCTATTATTTTATTTGGAAATATATAACTATAATCGGTACACAAATATAAATAACAACACTTTTTTTTTCAATATAAATATTTATTTAAAATGTAAAAAAGTCAATATTTGTAGGAATTACATGATAGATTAATTCAATACAATTTGGTGGTTAAAAAAAAGTATTGAATATTTATAATTCAAAAATTTATATTAATTAGTAAGTAAAATTTAAAAAAAAACAAAAATATTTACAATATAAAATTTCTATTCCGGTTTTTCATTTTTGCAAACATGTCAATTACATTCTCAATATTAATATCAATGTCTCTATGCACATGCAACATAGTCAAACTACTAAGACGTTCATTTCCCATTTGAGAGCGTAACCATGTTTTCAATCTAAATAAGCAAAGCAAAATGCGCAAGAAAAACCTATTAGATTCATTTCATGCATCAACATACTATTAAGTATTATTATATTAATGTTATCTTATTATAAGCAAAGAGTTAAGCCAAGCTATATGTTATTATTATTCACTTAATAGTACATAATATGTTTTTTTTTTATATTTACCTTCTGAGTGTAGAAAAGGTGCGCTCAGCAGATGCTACACTGATTGGCAGTGAGCATATAATGCACAAAACTTCATGTAGAATAGGAAAAACATCATGATGACACTCATCTAAAGCATCTAATGCATTTTTACAGATATTTTTACCTAAAAAAATAAACATAATATTTATATCATATTAATTTTATAAATAACACAAAAACCAATAATAAGGTACCTACCTTCTGTTTCTTGTTTACTCCATTTAGCATACCAAAGTCCAAGTTCTCCATTTATTCTTTCTTCTGGTACATGTTCAAAAAATGAGTAACAAGTAATTACTTGAATAATTTTTTTGAAGGTGGTACATGTTTCTTCATATTTTATTTTAATCATGCAACTTGGAATTAACAACATAAGGGTTACAATATTTTCATTTTCTTTACTTAAAAATCTGTATTTTAAATCTTCTAATATACCTTCTAGAAGAGGTATATACATATTTATACGGTAGTAGTCCAAGGGATCCTTTGATCCAGAATTTATACTCCCTCTATGAGTTTGGCGACCGACGAGCCTAGGCAATTTCATTTCTACATCAAGTTTTTCAAAAACTAACTTGCTTTCTTCAAACAAACTTTTGAATTTGTCTTCACAGCTTGACCGATACTTTTGGAGTACATCTATAACACAATTAATGTGTGTTGATGCTGTTACTACATCTTCATCACGTTTTTGAAGAATTTTACTGATTGGGTATGTAACACTTAATATTTGTGATAAAGAATTAAGGGATAAAATAAAATCACATGTACAGAGTGCAGATATTAACATTTTGGCTTTCGCTGATGAAGTAATATCATTCCATTGTGAAATTTCAGTTAGAGTCTCTACAATGTTTACAAGTGAGTTTTTGAATTCCATTACGCTATCGTGTCTTTCTACCCAACGCGTTTCGCATAAGCTAGAAAGTGATTTATGACCAGTTAAATATTTTTTCAACACAAAATTACGTTTGGCAGATAAATTGAAAAAAGATATTGTTTCTTTAATAACACCAACACAGTTTCTAATAAGCTGTATGTTTGAAGACTTTGAGATACACAGGTTTAAGGCATGATTAGAACAAGGACTGTGAACTGCGTTTTTTGCAAATTGTTGGATTTGTTGAACTGCTCCATTAGCTGAAGAAACCATAACTGAGCATCCGTCCGTTCCTACACCTACACAATTATCTAAATTGAAATCAAAATCTTGCAATAGTTGTACAACAGCATTTCCTAAAATTTTACCAGTTATTTTAGGCTCTTGAATTTCACTAATAAGATCATTACTTTCCTCATTATCTTTCAAAAATGTATCTTTATTTTTTTCAAATATATAGTCATGGCAATTAATGAATCCCAAAAATTTTTCATTTACTTGATTTTTAAATATGTAACGGATGGTTAAACTTAATTGGGATATGTTAGAAATATCCGTTGTTTCATCAAATATCACACTAAATTGTTTTGCTTCTTTAGCTTCTGAACAAATTTTATTTAAAATATCTTTGCTGCAACAATCGATTATTTCATTCTGAGTGAACCCACTTATGTAAGTTGCTCTAGCAGTTGACGTTTTCAAATGATTTTTAAGAAGATGGTCTCCAGAGGCTACTCTAAATTTAAGAAGCTGTTTAAAATTGCCTTGATTTATCACAGACTTATCCTCGGATTTATCATTATCGATTGGGAATTCATCTAACGAAACTTTGCCATCATCTCGATGCCCACGCAATGCAATATTTTGTCGCCCTAAAAATATAATTGTTTCAATTATTGGTCTAAGGCGAGCACGGTTTTCAGCAACTTCTTTTTTTCTTTGAGAGTCCAACATATTTATTACTTCTCTATTAGGGTTTGAATATGTAATTTTAAAATCTATTGAACATTGAGCTGCATTTTTGTGATAATGAGTACTATTGTGAACCTCTAGTGCACCATCTTTGCCAAGCAATTTAGAGTATACATTTAGAGGTTTTGTCACCAACCTTTTTAACTGCTCTGTTTTATGAGCACCACCCATTGTAGAGGTTAAAAAAAGTACACATATTTTACAAAATAACCCTTTTTCACTATTTGAATACTCCAACCAGCTGAATTTCTGAAAATGATTCAATCGTAAATACCGCTTTTCTTCTTTTCCCTTTTTATTATGTAAAGAAAAGGGAAAAACAAAGTTTTCTGATGGATTATTATTTCGTTCAAGTATTGTGAATTTTATAAAATCATTCAATATTATGCTTCCACTTACTATTTGGCCGATATCTGTATTTGAAGTTACAATTGTGTTTGATTCTTTACTCAACCCTACCGGTTGTTCCTTTTCAACATGTTTTGGTTGGTCTATTTCTAAGTTTTCGTCAGGACTTTTACTAGTTGATGCTATGCAAAAATGCTTATTATTATCTGAAGTAAAATAAGAAGAAATGTTACGCTTCGACATATTATATTTTAAAAAAACACTACACGAACTATTACACAAGATGCAAAAACTACAGTGCCATAACTAAATTTTACTATGCGATAGTGCGATACTATGCGTAAACAATAATATTATGATTTATGAGTTATGACTTATGACTAACGGACACGGCTATAGATATTACTATCTTTAATCGTGCTATCAAATGACAATTAATACTCTATGGCACTAATTGTCCCAACATTTCATGGAGAAAAAAAATAATATTGTACAAGTGAAAAATCAATCAGCAGATAACACCAGTATAAATATTTAAATATCTATAATCAATGGTTATAGGCTATAGATAATATTGTAATAATGTATAGTGGTGGTGAAAATCCCAAGGGGGGGGGGGGGTCCCCCAATTCCCCCCCCCCCCCCCCGATATCCGCCACTGGTTCACAAAACCTACAACCATCACTTATCAGTTATCACCTATTACAGTAATTCTCTAATGGATCATGGCTTTGTCTTAAACGATAAGTGATCAGCGTGATGCCGTGACCAGTTGAAATAGGGATTCATTTTCATGTATAGTTAGATATAGGTAGATTGTTGAATTTTACTTCTAGGAATAATTTATACCTGCACGCCGACAAATACATAATTACACCAAAATGGTCAGGTTACAGGTAGTTTTGGAAATCCGTGGGCCATCGTGCCGTACAATCTGTAATCATACTCTGTTTTACCAGATTTTTCACCAACTGCATTCATTATAATATTATTATCTATTTCCATCAGAATTTTATTCTCAATGGCCATTAGCATAAAAGACTCTAGATTTTCATTGGTCATTGAATTTCTTAGCCAATTTTTCAAATACTTTAAGGTTGAAAATTACCTTTCGCAAGCCACTTCAGTAACTGGGAGAGTTATAATGTATTGATATGCTAAAAGTTTTAGCTTTAGTTAATGCAGGAGGAAGCATTTGCAAATAAATTATTTAATCAATACATTATAACAACATATTACACAGTTTTTACAAGGCTTGTTACAGCGGTTCACGACATCCGTATTCTCCAGGTCTTCATTTTCAGAGTTACTTATACTATATTACTTTTCATTATAGTCCTCATTGACAGATTTTTTTTTAAAAATGCTGGACTAAAAATATTTATTTTAAGTCTAAATCTAAATTGCTGAGGTTCCTATGTCCTATAATTATGTTTTGAAATGATAAGTACATATTATTTTTTATGGTGTAATATAAAAATACACAAAGACTAAAGTTTTATGCATTGAATAACAAATACATAAAATTGAGTTGTGTTTATGTAGTTATTATGTTGAGTTAATATTTATTTGGTTCCCATAAATTGTATACCTACCTATGGTATCAATTATAATAATTTGTCAATTTGGGAAACTATTTATTATCTCCAACAAATTAAGAAATCGTTATATCTTCTCCAGAATATATTGGAATTAATTACTATTAAAATAGTTTGATAAAATTCTTAAAAATTATTTTTAGGTATGTCAAAAAAAATTCACAGGAACTAAATCATTGTGTTGAAATGTTTAAATATCCTTTAATAAGTTAAATGTATTAATATTTTTACCAACCATAATAATATTTTATTATTTGTTTGTTATGTACTTGTATTTTTTTTTTTTTTTTTTTTAATTATTTATTATTAAATTGTTTAAAATTATAGAATTTGAACAATTAATTGAATGTTATGTTATAATATTCTCAATTTTTCAACGCGTAATTTTGTTTATAATTTTTTTTTTTTTAGTTTGTTACCAGCTCGAGCAGAAAATTGTAAAAAAGTTTTTTGTGAATTATACAATACCTACAGTCACCAGTTAAACTATGTAAGTGCTTTATTACCATCATTGGATCTTATGAATTTGGGAGCATCGAGATCTTCTGCTGACTTCAGTGTACCTCATGATCCAAGAGTAAAGAGTAAATCTTTATTAAGCACTGAAAACAATGTTAGTACATTTAATACACTTCCATCATTAATATTAAATGGGCAAAATACTATTCAAACTTCTTTTGCTCCAAATACAAGCAGTTCGTATCCCAAATCATTGGAGACTAAAGCACAAAATGATGATGGTCAATTTAGAAATTCTGACATAATGCATGGTAAGATGTCCCGTACCAAGCCCCTAATAAAATATCACGATCCAATGCTTCACGAAATTCACATTAATGATGCATTCAGGAGAGATTCAAGGACTTTGGAAAGTGTAAAAACAACTCCGTATCTTAACCATAAAAAATATAGGAAAGCGAAATACAGACAACAAAATAAAGGTTTTGCAATAAATAAAAACCAAATAAACCAAGACCAAGATAAATATCATAGCTTAGTCAGTAAGAAAATGGAAAAAAATAACATCATTGGTTGTCCTTATAATAGTTTTGGACCTGTAAATGAAACAGCTACTATTAAATTTAACAAGATTCCTAAACTCAAAACATTTGAGGATAACATAAATAGCACAGCTGTCTTAAAAACTGATGAAAAATCCTTCAAATTTCCTCCAGAAATTAATCTTGAAACTATTGTTAATATTCCAAATAAAGTAATTAAGGATCAACGTTCTTCTAAGTCTGAACAAAATAGCGTTTTAATAGACTATATATATCAAAATAAGTCGAAGAAACAAAAGAAGTGTTCCAAGGAAAAAGAATTTGAAAAAATTATAAAAGATGCCGATTGTTCAAATAATGATATATGGGTTCCAAGTAGAAGAACAAGAAGTTCTGTGAAGCAAAAGGAAATCTTAGAAAATGTTAATGTAAACAACTCAAAACCAAAATTTGAGATAGATATTATAACAAAAAATGATAAAAAAATTGAATATAGTGAATGTATTAAGAACTATGACTGTGTATCAATTCCCGTCGCGGAAGATGTTTGTGGACGGAATGAAATCAGACATAATATTATATCATCTCCATCAAAAGAACAATCAGGAGTTGTAAATCCTACAATAGCCAGATGTATAAGCCAACAAAAAAATATGGTTTCTACTAATGAAATTAATTTTACAGCCGATGATCATCGTAAAGTTGTTAACAAATACTGGCTTGACTTATTGAAAAATCAAAAATGTAAGGATGCCATTAATATATTTCAAGATAAAGATAAAATAAAAAAACAAAAGGAAAAGCAGAAACGGAAAAAAACAAAGAAAAAAGTTAGTGCAGAATCTTCAAAGAATTCTAACGAAGAAAGAAAAAATAAATTTTTAAATTGCATTTCAGATGATAATAATTTTAATCAAGCAGAAAACAGAGTAGAAATTAAAAAGAAAAAAAGCCATTTAAATAAATTAAATAAAGGAAGTACTAGTTTTGGAAACATTTATGGCCATTTATCAACTGGTCAACATAAATTAAAATCTAATGAAAGCTATGGTAATTTTGAAATTCTTAAGGATAGATGCATATTTGAGAAAAAACAATTAAAAATTGTTATTGCTAAACTTGATGGAAATATTGAGGGAAGTGAAAACTGTAATGCAGATACTTCAACTAATAATAATATCCAAACCAATAACAAACCATTAAATATTAAAAGAGCTCAAGAAATAAAATATAAGAAACCGTTTGTAGGTCCGTTGAGTGTTAAATTAGCGAGACAAAAAATGGAAATGGAACTCAGTGATTCAAAATATGAACGAGACATTAAAAATCAACTTAAATTTGAAACTAGAAAAGTTAGAAAGAAATCAAAAGCGGTTAATAGATTGGATAAAAAAGAAAAGTTGAATTCTGAAACTTATATTGTCAACAAGCCAAAATTAAGAAAGGCTAGACGATCAGAATTAGATAAACATCGTGCTAATATAACTGGAACTTTTCATTGTGAACCGGTATTAAATGCTTCAACTAAACGACTACGTAGAACCGATAAAAAAATTGACTATGTAAAAACAAATACTTCAACTAATAATTATAGCCAAACCAATAATGAACCATTAAATGTTCAAATACCTCAAGAAATAAAATATAAGAAACCGTTTGTAGGTCCGTTGAGTGTTAAATTAGCAAGACAAAAAATGGAAATGGAACTTAGTGATTCTCAATATAAACGAGACATAAAAAACCAACTTGACATTGAAACTAGAAAAGTTAGAAAGAAATCAAAATCTGTTGATAGATTTGATAAAAAAGAAGAGTTGATTTCTGAAACTTCTACTAGTTTAATGATAGAACAACCAATTGTTTTAATACGTCCTTTTGAAAATAACAAGTTACTAGATAAAATAACAGACTCCAATAAACCATTTAAGCAGAATTCTAAGACATCAACTTATATTGTTAACAAACCAAAATTAAGGAAAACTAAATCAGAATTAGATAAACTTTGTGCTAATATAACTGGAATGTTTTATTATGAAAATATAATAAATGCTCCAACTAAACGACAATGCAGAACCAATAAAAAAATTGACAATGTAAAAACAAAAGAAGTTTCATTAAAGGAAAAGGTAACTTCAAATATTGAAGTATCGGGTTTGAATGAAGATAAAAGCAAGTTTATCTTTAAGGTAGGAAAACCAAAAAACATAAAAAAGAAAGTTCAAAAATCAACAATTGTATTAAATAAAAAGAAACAATTTGTTAAAAAGTCTGTGGCAAACCAAACTAATAATTTTGGTGGTAAACCAGTCATTCAACAGTGTCAAGTTATTTATGAAAGTAAAGACAATGATGATCACAACCAACAGATAAGTGTAACCGATCTAAATGCACAAGCAAATGATCAAAAACAACCAGATTCTCTTTTTTCTATCGAAAACAAATGCTACGAACAAACTATTGACGAAATTGAACAGAATTCAATTATTGATGAGAGTACGCCAGAATCATCAATAATTCATGTGAATCTTCCAGTATCAGTTAACGACAAAATTCTGCCAGAGCTAAATATGCTTCAATTTTTACCAGAACAAGCTAACCAATGTAAGTATAAATTCAAGAACTATTAGTATTTATTAAAGTTTGATATTTTTATTATAGCTCCTACAAAAGAAACAAGAATTAGCACAGAACAGCCTGAGATTCAATATTCTGAATACACGTTCAAAGAAAAATCAAAAACATTTGTCTTGGCTGGTTTAAGTTGTGAATTGATAAATTCAATGTTATTGTTTAAATGTTCAGTATCCAGTTGCCTGGAAAAATTTTCAACGTCTGTTTTGATTGATTTTTCTAAACATATAATTACAAATCATCAATTTGTAATATGGGATGGAAATTGTGAAGCATGTCATCACAAATCCTCGATAATATCTGACCAATACTATGTAAAAGACGCGTTAGAACATTTAATTTCTCATCATTTAGTTCTAAAGAATACCGAACAACATCCCAATGCTAAAGGTAAATCTTAATTGTGTTATTGATGTTTTTAAAGTTATATAATCTAATTAAATTACATTTTTTAGCAAATCTTGAAGGATTATCTTCTTTTTGTCAAGACTCAGTATCCGGTGATAAATTATCTGTTCGTAAGTTAACATTTTTTTATTCTTTATAGATGTGGTTTTTAATGATTTCAGAGTCACACAACACATAATTGTTACAATTTTTGCAGATTAGTGTATCACTCAAAAAAAAAATTATGATTGTATAGTACTAGTGTTCAGATGGTGAAACTAAAAATTTATCTTTTTTATAAACATTTTTATTTTTTCAGTCACTGATTTCAAAACACTTTCCCTGAGTTCAGTATCCCTAGTTCATGGAACATTCTATTTAACATGAAATTTAAATTAGAAGATATTTGCAACATTAGACCGCATATTTAATAGAACAAATATTTTTTTTGATATATTGTGTCATTTGAAGTTTTGAACTGGTGTCATTAGGTCATTTATGAAACTATAATAATTAGACACGATAAAATTTTTTAAAAGAACAGAAAAGTTAATCTGATGTACAGTAGGTGTTCAAATCGTATGAACTTCTAACTCAAAATAATTTTCTAATTTTTTTGGTTTTGAAAAGATATTTGAAATTCTTACTTTTGAGGTTTGTAAAAAAATATTATGGTTTTATGCTCAACTCTTTTTTTTGTTTACACTTATAATAACTTATGTCTATAAATAACTCTAAAGGATTCAAAATATTTTTGAAATTTTATGGTATATACAAATTTGAACAAAAAAATTCAGTGATACTTGCATGTATCTATATTCATTTTTTTTGAATTAATCAAAAATCAAAATTGAATTTTTCGAAAAGTGGATTTGAGCTAAAATCTTCCGTTTCTCTTATTATGTTTTTTTTTGTTTTACACTTTTACAACTGATTGAGAATCTCATCTCAAATGGCAAAAAAAAAATTAAGCAAATGAAGAAAAATAGGAACGTTTAACCCAAATTTATTTTGTTCTTCGGTGTTACTCAAAAATAAATAACTATATACATTTGAAATGTCCACGAAATGTTAATACTAGCATTTTCTACACATAATATAATTTTCTTTCTAATATATTACTTTTTAGAGCTATTTATATGCATAAGAAATTTTTATTAGTTTTTGATTTCTAGACATATGTTTAAAACACTTTATGTTAATGTTGTGTCCGTCTCTTAGATCCTAGTACACAGTTACGACTGTTGGTTTGAAAGTATTTATTTATTATTTGTTGCTACTGCATATAAAATGTTTATGAAATGATAATTGTTTGTTTTGTATTTGAATACATTTAGAAACCAGGAATTCAGCACGCTTGCAGAGTGAGCTTTCCTAACTTATTATTTCATTATTGTCAATAAAAATTTGTTCACTCTTCCAAAAAACTTAAAATCATAGTACAGGGTTTCTCATAAGTTGTTATCAGTAAAATTTTTACAAATGTTTACAAAATACCTCAAAATCACATACATTCGATAATTATTTGGAGTTAGAAATTCATAAAAAAATTCTCTTTTTACCTAAGATTTGAAAAATGTATACAAGATTCCCTATAACAAAAACAATTTTTTTTTAAAGTTTACTGGAAATAGGAAAGTCAATTAATTATACTATGATGTATGAGCAGTTAAAGTTCAAATTTGTTTGCATTGGATATTAATTTTATTAAACTATCAATTTCCTTATTTTTTGTAATTAAGAAATATTATTATTATATAATATGCTGACAGACTGTTTTAGCTCAGATAATTTATAATATGTTAAATCACCTTAATTATATTTTTAATATAAAAATAGTTAAATGAACAACATTGTTCCTAAAAATAAAAATAAATCAATCAATGATAAAGTTAAAAAAATTATTCAGTAATCAGCTAAAAATAGTTTATATTAACAATATATTAAGAAATTAGAAAAATATTCACCTATGACAAAAATATTTAATAATGATGATGATTAATAGTTTGAAAGACTTAAGGTATAAAGCTTTAGCTTATAGATAAAGAATAACAAAGTCAGAAAGATTAGTGAACAAAAATACTATTTAGTTGATTAACAAATATAGTATGGTAAAATTGCAATTATTTTAAAACTTGTTTTAGCTCAGAATCGTTTTTTGTGTTCAATGATTTTATATCATTGAATTCATATTTAATACCACCCATTACCAGTGACCCACTTATAAGTTATAACATACTGTACAACAGAGTAACATAAACTTACCATCTTTTTAAAGTAAATATCATTATACCCATTTGCCAATAGGTACTCACACTTTAAAAATTGATATAGACAGGTACATAGATTTTTTTTTATTATTATATTAATAATTAGCGTGCATTTTTTTCCAAAACAGAAATATATTTTGTAACATTATTTGAAAAAATATATTTTATTTAAAGGTGATTTCTTAATAAATATATACCATACATGAATCTATGTTTTGATTTTTATACAGATAAGCCTAGGAGTTCAAGTATTAGCGATATTTGCGATATCTCTGTTAGTAAATCACTAAGCGATGATACAAATTCCATTATCAAAAACGGTAATAAAAAGAAACAATTTGTTAAAAAGTCTATGGCAAACAAAACTAATAATTTTGATTGTAAACCAGTCATTCAACAGTGTCAAGTTATTTATGAAAGTAAAGACAATGATGATCACAACCAACAGATAAGTGTAACCGATCTAAATGCACAAGCAAATGATCAAAAACAACCAGATTCTCTTTTTTCTATCGAAAACAAATGCTACGAACAAACTATTGACGAAATTGAACAGAATTCAATTATTGATGAGAGTACGCCAGAATCATCAATAATTCATGTGAATCTTCCAGTATCAGTTAACGACAAAATTCTGCCAGAGCTAAATATGCTTCAATTTTTACCAGAACAAGCTAACCAATGTAAGTATAAATTCAAGAACTATTAGTATTTATTAAAGTTTGATATTTTTATTATAGCTCCTACAAAAGAAACAAGAATTAGCACAGAACAGCCTGAGATTCAATATTCTGAATACACGTTCAAAGAAAAATCAAAAACATTTGTCTTGGCTGGTTTAAGTTGTGAATTGATAAATTCAATGTTATTGTTTAAATGTTCAGTATCCAGTTGCCTGGAAAAATTTTCAACGTCTGTTTTGATTGATTTTTCTAAACATATAATTACAAATCATCAATTTGTAATATGGGATGGAAATTGTGAAGCATGTCATCACAAATCCTCGATAATATCTGACCAATACTATGTAAAAGACGCGTTAGAACATTTAATTTCTCATCATTTAGTTCTAAAGAATACCGAACAACATCCCAATGCTAAAGGTACATCTTAATTGTGTTATTGATATTTTTAAAGTTACATAATCTAATTAAATTACATTTTTTAGCAAATCTTGAAGGATTATCTTCTTTTTGTCAAGCTTCAGTATCCGGTGATAAATTATCTGTTCGTAAGTTAACATTTTTTTATTCTTTATAGATGTGGTTTTTAATGATTTCAGAGTCACACAACACATAATTGTTACAATTTTTGCAGATTAGTGTATCACTCAAAAAAAAAATTATGATTGTATAGTACTAGTGTTCAGATGATGAAACTAAAAATTCATCTTTTTTATAAACATTTTTATTTTTTCACTCACCGATTTCAAAACACTTTCTCTAAGTTCAGTATCCCTAGTTCATGGAACTTTCATATTCTGATCAACACTAGTTAAGAACCACTGATGTATAAAAATATTATTACTGTGTGATTATGAATTTAAATTTAAATTAGAAGATGTTTGCAATGTTAGACAATGTATTTAATAAAACAAATACTTTTTCTGAATTTGTGTCATTTGTCACAATGTCAAAATTATTATTATTATTGATCTCTATACATTTAAGAAGATCTATATTGTTGTAGATTTATACTCCTTTGAAAAACACCACAAATATAGTATGGTAAAATTGCAACTCTTTTAAAACTTGTCTTAGCTCAGAATCGTTTTTCGTGTTTAATGATTTTATATCATCAAATTCAAATTTAATACCGTCCATTACCAGTGACCCACTTATAACCTACTTTACAGCAGAGTGACATAAACTTACCGGCCTTATAAAAGTAAACATCAAGATACCCATTGGCCAATAGGTACTCACACTTTAAAAATTGATATATAATATCTTATCATAATATATTTAATTAAAGGTGATTTCTAAATAAATATTCACTATACATGAATCTATGTTTTGATTTTTATACAGATAAGCAAAGGAGTTCAAGTATTAGCAATATTTGCGATATGTCTGTTAGTATATCACTAGGCGATGATACAAATTCCATTAACAAAAACGGTAATAAATAGTTATGTATATTGTATTATTTATTTATCGAAACATTTTATAGGTACTAGATAAAAACTACATAGGATTTGAAATTAATTTAGTATGAGTCTTTGTAGCTTTAAAATGTTTTGATGTTTGTTTTCCGAATTCTTAATTTTGGAAATAAACCATGATTAAAAATCTTAAAAATGTATTTAATATGGATTAGGTTTTTAAATTCTGGGGAACTAGAAAGTTTTGAATTTTGGACATACTTAATTCAACATAATTATAAACCATACTCGGCGGACAACTTTTGCTCATTGGTGTGAGTTATCACAATACGGTACAAAAAAGTATTGCCTGACTGTCACCCAACAAAAATTAGTTGCTGCTAAGTAATAAGTATACTTCTGAACTTAAATAGAGCAAAATATAGCAAATATCATGAAGAGAGCCAGAGTTGGTGCGTTTTTTAAATTGTACAAATATATGTCTAACGGAAAAAACTGTTAAGGCCTGTAAAATAGTCGAATTTTGTTTAATTTTTTTTTATTTAAAAGAAGAAAACAAAGCCCAATTTTCGAAATTATAACTAGAAGTTAAAATATGCAATTGAATAATGCACAATATAATTTATTTTTCAAGCATATTTCTAGCATTATTTAAAGTAAAATGAAAATTTTGGTTTTGATCCAACCTGAAAAAGTTCTCTCCTTTTAAATAAAAAATAATTAACAAAATCCGACAACTCCACGGGTCATAACACTTTTTCCTGTGAAGTCATTTTCATTGATATAATACACCTATGAACCCCCCCCCCCTCCTAAATTGTAAATCAGACAGTTGGTTAGGGGAAAAGTATTGTGATTAAGTTAGTAACTAAAATATAAAATATAATGTTCAAATTGTATACGTTTGTAGAAATTTGGAAAAACTAGCACAACACCCTTAGGCTGATAAAGCTTTACATTATTTTGAGGTTCTTAGGATTAGGGTAAAAGAATACTGCATTAACTCTTTTAATCAAATTTATATAAATAAAAAATACATTTCAGCCCATAATTATCTCTCCTTATCTAGAAAATCCTTCAGAATTTGAGCATTTATAAATTTAAATTTTATAATAATACAATATATCAATATATGTATGACAAAAAATTGATATTTTAATTATCTATGTTATTTAGTGTACCTATTTGAATGATACACTAAATAAAATGTCCGATTTATGCTAATGATTATATTCGTTTCTGTGACTTAAATATAATTATAATATAAATATAATTTATTTTCTCCAATACACTTCATAGAAAGCATGTACAAAAACTCTGAACAATTTAGCCAAAATGTATTGCTGAATAGTCAATGTCAAACGTCAGGTGTATTTCAGCTACAAATAATAATTGCATGTTGTTGTTAGTCATTTAAAACTAAAAATCTTACTTAAAAAAAATCATATTTATTACTATTAATATTAATTATTTGTTTATAATCACCTGTAGGGCTCAAGAACAGTATATGTAAATTTACATTAATATAACTTAAGTATACAAAAAAAGGCATTAATAGAGCATAACATTATTATATAATTTCAATAATATATATTAAATATTTGTAAATATCATAAATAAAACAAATCAACATTTTTTAAAGTTCATCACATCCTCTGGCAGTAACATCCAAAGAATTATTGTAACCTTAAGAGCCAAGAGGTATGATGAAATGGAATTGAAAATGTGGGACAGTATCGCTAATTATGTTAGGGAAATTAACATTTTAGAAATGTAATGAATTCGGACATGATATATTGCCTTCTATTCATTTTATCTTATTAGGCTTACCCTTATAAGTACATGGAATACTACTTTTTAGAATTCCTATAAACAGACAGGAATAGTAAGTTAAGTAGATGTTTTATACTAGTTATTAATTTCTCATACAATTCTAGGCTATAATAAATTCTTGATTCAAGAAAACAATAGTCTTAAAGTAAAATTAATAATTAATTTGATTGTTTTATTTTATTTTTATGTATTAATATAGTGAATCTAAACATAAATCATGGTTCTAATGACAAAAAGTTGACATTATCGAGTTTACAGATTTCTGATGTTAAGAGTTTAAAAAAGGTACAACATTTTTTTATTAAAATAAGAAGTACATAATTTTGACCTAATATTTATTTTTCTCATTGTGTTTAGAGAAAAGTGAACACATCTAAAATAAACTCAAATGCATCTCATAACGAAGATCTTAATATGTGGATGAAATCAAAAACGATTAGTGAAGTTGTTGTTTCAAATTCCGAAACATTTCTTGAAGAAGGTCAACAAATTGTTAATAATGGTGTACCCATAGATGATACAATTTTTCTAATAGATACAGCATATACAAAAAATTACTTTAGAAAATTAAGAGATTTTCCAATGTCTGTGATGAAAACACAATTAGCTTTTAATAAAATGTCTGTTCTACCGAGACTAATGGGTCTTTTTAAATGTATGGAAAGGTATTGCACAAAAATTTTTTGCTCCAAAAAATTATTTAAATTACACATGGCAATACATTTTTCAAATGCAGAAAAAAAAAAAAGTACAAAGTTTTATTTTAATCTTTTTTCATACAAAATAATATGGTTTCTTATTAATTTTTGCGTGTTGTAGACCAAATTTACAATGTTCAACAGTTTAAAATGTGTGCCTATTGCTTTAAAACGTTTGATGATGAAGAATCTTTGGCTGACCACATTGCTGAAAAATACTCTTTTTGTGAATATTTTTGCCCTTATTGTTTTTATCGTGCTTATACTGCCTCCCATGTTTTTGTTCACCAAGTAATATTATTTTGGTCTTTAATTTTAATATTATAATTCCTATGTATAAAAATATTTGTTTACTTTCAGTCTGTAGTTCATACCAACATATCCAAACCTTGTATAATACAACTTCAAAATGATGATGCTGCTTTCGAATATCCAAGAGAACAGTTATTGGTAGTAGACTTCAAGGAGTTTGTACTGCCATACAAATGTAACATTGGTAAGTTTTTCTTCTATTTTCAATCTTTTGTTTGTTATAGATAAAGTTTGAATATTCAATATAGTCAGTGGTCTATTTAGAAATATAGCTCCCCGGGTACTCAATGAAGCAATTTCCTTTTTCCGGAATAATTATAAAGTACTAGTGCTAAAGTTTCTCCCAAAATACCATAAAGAATCTCACAAGAATTTGTCAAAACAATTCTTTTCATACATTTTTTTATAAAACTTAAACCCCTCTAAAGAAAAATATCCTAATATTGTGGCTCAGCATTTTATAAGATACATTGGATATAATGGTTATATTTTAGCATACCTGAATACTAATTAAAAATAGCATATATAAAAAAAAATTTTATTTATTGGAATGAGGGTTGCAGCTACAGTCCCAAGTACAAGGTATCCTGCACTGTCAGTGCTCATCCCTATCAACTGCATTCACATCGGGTCAACAAAAGCTCGACTCGTACGATTTTTCCGCATTACCCGATTATCTATGGCTATACGCTTACATATGGACCATGGACGTATATAGACGACTTTTAACTTACACTAAATGTTTCTTTTATACATTTACGAGCTTTAAAATATTTGCATATTACATTAACTCATGTATAGCACATGAAGCACCTGATGAATAATATAATGAAAACCAATTAAGGGGTGAGCAATATTGTTTGAAAATAGCTTGACAAAACCACGATCTTTACCATTCTTATTCAAAGCACCATCTGTACCAATTTTAGATAAATCTAAACCAATATTTTCAAGCAAATTTATAGCTACTTCACATATATTTTCCCTAGTAGTTTTAGCTGGTATAGATACTAATTTTTTAAGTTCTTCGAACTTTGTCGTTATTACAGAATCTATAAATTATTGAAAGGAGCTTGGATGATGTTATATCTGTACTTTCATCAATGCTAATGGAATAAAATGTACTTTTATTTAGAATTTAGATCATTTATTAACTGGTTTTCAATATTAGAATTCATGGTTAGAATTTTTTCTTTAATAGTATTCTTGCTGATTGATAAGTTTTTAATATGATACATAATTTTATCTTTGCATCAAAATCGTTAAAATCCTTTTTTAGTCTTTGTTGTGTACTGTTTCCTCCTCATAGAAATATAATAAAATATTAAGAAATTCGTCATAGAATCTTTTGATGGGAAGTACAAAGAACTCGTGTGATGCTATTGTTCAAAATGTCTGTTAAAATTTGTTTTTAGTAATCTAGATAGGTACTGTTCATTCTTCACATAATATTTTTCAATATTTAATTTATAATGTAGGTTGATAACCTGATTATTACATATGTATTATTATGTACAAACTTTATTTTGTATTGATATCTTTAACAGCTATTATATGTATAAAACCTCAGGGTATGAAATGTTTTTCATATATTATGCAGTGATTAATTTTAAAGTGATAAGTTGGAGTAGAAATTTTTAGAACAATTTTCCATTTTGGGAGATAATAGGATCTTTAGGAAATGTGAACTTAATTATACAATACATATTAAAATGTAATATGTAACTATTAATCAAGGATTTTAGTGTTAGAAAATAATGTATTCAAAATACATTTTGAGACTTTCTACTGCTAATTAAAATTAATAAATAACAATCGCCAATAAGGGTAAATATATAAACCTATTTTGTAATTACAATGATATTTGTTCACCATGACAAGTGACAACTTCTTTTTAGTGTACATTAATATTTATTTTATATGTCGATAACAATAAAAATAGTAACAGTTCATTCTTAGTTTTTAACATCATCATGATCAAACTTTATTTTAACTTTGATTTGTTTAGGTTGCTGTGGTTTTTCTTGTTATCTGCATCATGAATTTTTAGAGCATTTGAATCAAAAGCATAAAAAATGTGATAAATTCTGTTGTTACATTTGTGCCAATAAAGATAACGGTGGTGGATATTTTGCACTCTGTCCAAGTTTATTGATTACAGTAAGTATTATGTGTAAAATTTAACAAATAAGGAAATATTCAATCTTTTAAGTATTATTATGTACATGGTCTATTTTAATTTAATTTAAATTTATTTTTTAAAAATTTTTTATCAATTTAAGAGGATGTCTCATCAAAATATGTATGTGAAACATGTCTTTTAAAAACATGTTTGCGTTTTCAAAGAATGGGTTACTGAGTGGTTTTATTTTCATAATACCCGTGAACAAAACTGTAGAGGAAATAAAAATTAGGTTCCTTAAGCATCTAGATTTTTGATTTTTGAAGTTTTAAAGTCTAAAAATAACTATCAAATAAAAGTTTAAAAAACGTTCATTATTAGACATGAAATATTTTACCAAGTTCTAATATTATCAAAATTCAGGGTTCTTTGGTAACCAGGTTTGAATTTCCTCTATAATTTTGTGTACAGGTGTTTTTACAAAATAAAACATTACAAAATAGTAACCGATGTTTTTCGAATCCCCAAAGTATATTTTATAAGAAAATTATGGCCGACTGGTGCTGTAACATATGGCTAACACCCCTATGTCTTGAGCATTGTATATCGACACGTTTCAGTGTGACCTATTCTTAATTGTGTATGTACAGGCATATCACATAAGTATTAAGTTATGAGATCAAAGTAATTTGTAAATCATGTAATTATACGATAATAAAAGTTTTATTTCACAATTAAAATTAAATGTTTGATACTTAATCCTTTTTTTTTTACAGCATTTTAAGCTTCATAACTTAAATAAATATCAATGTATTTTCTGCTTATTTGGTAGTGAAATAATTGATGTAATGATAAAGCATTTAGCATTTGAACATTTTGAATATGACCTTTTATGCTTGGAGCGTTCTACGGTATCTGATGATTGTGTACGAGTATTTAATCAAAATAATTAATAAATAATTACATTAATGAAATATTTGTAATCAATTAAATGTTTACTATTACAGGAATCGAAAAACATTAAAAATCTAAAAATATTACGATTGAAAAAAGTTATTGATGATGGGGTAGTAGAGATGGTCAATTATTTATCTGCAAAACCATTTTCTGAACCTGAAGCTGTGTCACAGCAATCTAAAAAAAGATTGATTGAGTGTCCTGATGATATCCTATCAATTGCTATGAAATCTGCTCGCTTTGATGAAGGATCTCAACCACCAGATGCAATTGTTAGTACAGTTCCCGATAGTGTAGAAATTGCTGATATCAGTACATCAGCAGAGTTGACAGTACATAATAATGAATTTATTATAATTGATGATGATGAGAACCAAAATGATACGCATGTACCACTGAAAATAACTCGCGTTTGGTCTGAATTTTTGAACAAGGAAAAAAATTCTGAAGAGTCATCAGATGATGATATTATTGTTATCAATGATGAAGATGATGTTGATTTGTCAGAGAAAGAAAATCTTAATGATTGTCTTAAAAAACAAAAAGAATCAACCAATGAATCAAATGAGGGCAAAAGATTGGTATTTCCAATTGAATTGGATAAATTGTTTGTTTGTAAAAAATGTGGTAAGTATTCAGGCAAATTATTTTTTATTGTTATTAAATAAAAATTTTGTTACTTAATTAAAATGTTTGTCTTGTAGAAATAGTTTTTTCAAATGGAGCAATGTATTGTGCCCACCTTAAGTCTCGGTGTCCTTTTTGGGACAAAGTGGCTGGACAGAAATGTATGTATTGTGATAAAGTATATAAAATGGCTAAAAGCTTAATTGAACATATCAAACTTCATGGACCTGATCGTTTCAATTGTTCTTTATGCAATTTAAAAGTACCAACTCAGCGAGCTATCACACGTCATATGAAAAAGCATAATATTATAAATATAAATTTTGTACCTGATTGTTCTAATTTAACCGATTTCGATAAAGATTACTTTACTGTATTTGAAAATAAGACAGTTAACACCGAGAAGGAGGAAGAGTTACCTTGTAATCAGTGTCCATTTAAGGGCAGCGTTCTTGAGATTATGTCTCATATGATAATTTATCATACTGCTGAGCAAAATATGGATGATGGTGAACAACAACCAAATGATTCAAATAACTCCACCAATTCTTTAATACGTCAACAAGTTGAACAACAAAATACAAGGTTGAAAATAAAACGTTTTACTGTGAGTTATCCTTTTATTTTATCATACTACTTAAATCCCTAGTTTCTAAAATTAATTAACTACCACACAGGGCCATTTAGTATTTTGTCTGTATGCTTTTTTTGTTTCTTATAAATTAGAATGTTGGCAATCAGGAAGGATCACTAAAAGCAAAAAACTTGTTTTTTTCTCTTGATATTGACAGTATTCCAAAATCTCAATATTTTATAACTCAGGATATTCATTCAAGGGATACCCAGATTTAACTTATAATTTATATTAACGTATACTATTGAGTTTGGTTTCTAAAGCTATGGGTTTTATTTAGCTTACTGATAAGGAAGAGTTGCAAAGTGATCTTTAGGAGAATATTGGTTCATATTAACATACTTTTACGCATTATATACAAAATAAAGTATTTATTAGAGATGAGCAATGATCAATTTTCAGATTTAGAAATAATATAAATAATATACCTACCTAAATGGTCAATCACCAGACATTTAATACTTAAAAATTTATCTCACTTGTTGTAAAAGCTTGGTAACCCCTGCATTAGAGTATTATTAAAAGTTTTAAATTGTTATTTATTTGTTTAGGTTGATCAAGTGGTTGGACATCAACATAATAATATGTTATCGACTGAATTGAATAAAAACAGTAAAACTATATTAGTTAATAATAAAAGGAAGTCTTATTCTCCAACTAGAGTATGTATAAATAATATTTAATATTTAATCAATATTAATAATGTAATAAATACATTTTATTTTTAGAAAAATAATATTGCGCACAAGAAAAAAGTATTAGTCTCTCAATTTATCCCTGATCCTGTATCAAATGATGATATCATTGATCTGGTAGATGACTCTGATACAAATAATTAGGTACATCTTACAATGTTAAGAATTTTTTTGTCGAATGCTAATTTTTATGTAACAAACTGTATAATCTTAAAATATCTTTTAAAATACTACAATTTTAGCTAAATAATATGATTTTGAATTGGTTTTCTTTACAGACAATAAATAATATTAGGTATCTAAGACTGACATATTGGATGTTTATTATTTAAATAAAAACATTAACCTCATTCCAATATGGTAAGAGATTATGATAGAAATTATCATTTTAATATTGATGTTATATGTTTATATTTTAAGTGTGTTAATATCTCAAAAATATAATAATTTAATAATAAGTTATAAGTATAATTATAAAAGACTGTTAAATTTATTATTTTTGATTACTACGCCCATGTATTTTTTGTATAAAAGGGTTTATTCATTTATTTTGGGTATTTTACAATTAGGTAAAAATAATTATTATTATTAGTAACTTATTTTATATTTCATTATGTTTTCATTACATTTTGTATATACTCTTAGACTCTGTGAATGTAGAGTATTGAATAAATGAAAATAACTTGTAATTTTTTAATTTGATTACAGTACCTACACCATTAAGTTATAACTCGAAAGTTAGGTTTACTACTATTTTAATATTTTTTTGTGTATAATAAAAAATAGGTATTTTCTATTATTTTTATAATTTGTTTTTTTTTCTTTAGCCAGACGCGTCATATTTTTGGGAAAGGGTGCTACTAGGGAAGGCATTAGCCCAACCTTAGATTTCAAAGTAGCGATTACGGGCAGTAATACAAAATATTAATTATTGTGAATCAAAAAGTATTTATCACTTTATCAGTAATCTACAATAAGACAAGTACAAATGTACAAAGTTCGTCAATGTAAAGAATATTATACTGTTTTTTATTACTTTGTACCATGATTAGAATGGGGCTTCAGCCCCCCCTACCAAATCTCATACGCTTTTTTCGCCTATGTACAAGGGCTATATAATGTACTTAATATAATAATACATACATAATATTATACTCATAAGTTCACTTAATCACGTGAAATCGATTATTTGTCGTTATACAATTGCTGTTTGTACCTACTACCATCATTGTGTAGAAATTAAAAGTTATTTGTTTATACAAAAGATAAAATATGTCATCCAAGCATTTGCATTACTATAGTAGTCAACAGGTAAGTTTTTGACACCTTTTAAACATCTTGGTTGCTTACTTTTACCGATAAATAATGGCTTCTTTTTTACAGTACCTACCGGTCATGTTGCATGTTCAGCCCAAAGTAATCCTCGCTTTATTCTTTTTCCCTGCAGAGGCCAGTGCTTTTTTTAAAACCATGCAATAGTCAGGTGTTGCTCTATACTGTTTTATTATTTATTGATGTAGAGGATGGAAGTGGATAAACATTATTATAATACGTATGTTTTTGTTCTGTTATACATTTATTAGACAAAAGCATCAGTTTATTAAATACGATTAAAGAACATCTTAGATACTGTGTCTGAAAGAGCGAGTGACAATACCACACGCACACCTCAGTCATAACCTTAAAGTTAGTATGATAATAAACATAATAATAATAATAATAATGATACGAATATCAGTTTATTACATCTGAGATGTTATATCTCCTTTCTTTGGGACTAATAATTAATAACAATTTTGAATTTAGAAATACATAATGCTTATAAATTATAATTTACAAATATAATTAATAGTGACTCTTTGGCAAACAAAATAATAATTATAATAATAATAATAATACATTTAGTCAATTATTCAGTATAACTGTATAAGTTTCAATTAGTTGAGATATTTTTTTGGTTTTTTAATCAACCGACCATACCTAGTTTTCCTATTATCCTCCTTCACTAAACCTTTTACAACACTCTCTTTTTGTTTACTTGTATCACTTGTCACATTAGTTTTGTTCATTTTTAAATGTACTGATGTTCTTCTAAATATTTTTCCTTTCACATCCTGTAATATACATGACCTAGGAATTTCTGCTTTCCCAATGATTACACCAACTTCTCAAACATTATTTTTAAGCCATAAAACAGAATCTCCTTTTTTAAATACTTTTTCTTTCCCTTGTGTTCCTTTATTATAATAATCTTGTTGTTTACGTTGGTTTACTTTCATTTGACTACACAAGTATTTAGGAATTTTTGGGAATAATGTTTTTTCATTTACTGGTAGTTTAGTTTTAATTTTTCTATTTTGTAATATTTCAGCAGGTGAATATATTAATCCAGCAACTGGTGATGACCTATAGTTCAATAAGTACAATTAAAGATCTTGACCAGTCTCTAAGCATTTTCGCATCATACCTGTGGCTATGCCAACATCTTTTTCTACTAAACCATTGCTTTGCGGATAATTGGGACTTGTAGAAATGCTTTTAAAATTCCAATCAATAGAAAATTGTTTAAAAGGGTAGCTATTAAATGGAATATTGTCCGAAACACAATAATTAGGAATACCAAATCTACTGAATATGGGTTTTAGTACAGAAACAATTGTATTTGCAGACTTAGCTTGAATTTTTAAGATTTCCAACCACTTTGAATAATAGTCACAAATTATTAGATAATAATTACCTCCAAAATCTGCTATGTCAATACCTATTTACTCAAATGAGCTTTTTGGTAGGTGATGATTTAACAAAACTTCTTTGGTATTTTTCCTTTGATATTTGGCACATAAATTACAATTGCTAATATAGTTTTCAATGTATTTAGACATATAAGGCCAATGATAAAAGTTTTTTGCTAGTTTTATTCTCTTTGTAATACCCAAGTGAGTTTCATGCAAAATCTTTAATAATATTTTTCTTAGATTAACTGGAACGTCTGGAACTATTAATTTATCATTTAGGTATACTAATCCATTATTTACTGTTATTTCATTCCTTTTATTCCAGAGATAAAGTTTGGGAGTTTAGTTTTATAAACTGGTCAATTATACATATAATAATCCATAACTTTACCTAGTACTGGGTCAGACTTTGTTTCATTTATAAATTCTACTAGTTTGTCATTACTAAATTTTATATTTTTTGTATTTATCATATGTACATAATCATTAATAGATTCATCATCTTTTATACCACCATCAATGTAGTCTCTAGATAAGTAATCTGCAATAAACATTTTTTTGCCTGGTAAATGTTCAAGATTTTCAAGAAGAAAAATTCGATACGTATCGATTCGTACCACCTCATATCGAAGTCCGAGTCCGATACGGATCGGTACGTATCGCTTGTATACTGCACGTGTAACTTCTTGAACGCTCAAAATTGCCTCGATACGTATCGATACACTCCAAATTCTTGCTTGAAAATCTTGTACTGTAATATTATATACAGCTAATTTAGTTTTTATTTTTCTTAGACGATTATTTTTAATTTTATCAAAGTCTTTTACTATGATAGACACCAATGGCTTATGATCGCTGTATATTAAAACATGTCTACCATAAATATACTCATGCAATTTAATATATGCGAAAAGTATTGCTGCCATTTCTTTCTCTATTTGTGCCCACTGTGTTTCATTACATGTTAAACTACGAGACGCATATGCTACTGGCTGTTTATTTTGTAATAAACAACATCCTAATCCGGATTGAGAGCTATCGGTCTGAATAGTAATACTTTTATTCGGATCAAAAGACGATAGTACTGTTGAATTCATTAATTTTTCTTTAATGCGTTCTAAAGCTAACATTTGATTACTTGTCCACTGCCACTCAGTATTTTTTTTTAGTAAGTTCCTTAATGGGGCAGTTAGCTCTGAAAAATTTGGGATGAAGCTTCTTACATAATTGATAAATCCTAACAATCTTTGAAGTTCTTTTTTATTATTCTTCTTCTTCTTCAGTTATTGTAGGCCATTAAGGCCCATCACTGCTCCACTCAGCCTCCTCCATTCTTCTCTCTCATTCGCTAATTCTTCCGGGTTATCTACCCCAAGTATCCTAAAAAACTGGTTTGGTTCGTCTATCCACCTTTTCTTCGGTCTGCCCAGTGGTCTCTTGCCTTCCGGTTTCCACTTAAGTGCGTCCTTCATTATGCCATTCGATCTCCATACATGTCCAAGCCAGCTCATTTTTCTGCCTTTAAGTGTTTGTATTATGTCCTCTTCTCCTAACAGGTTTTTAATTTCTTTATTGGATCTTATTTCATATTCACCTGTTTGATCATTTTTTTGGGACCGAATATGCGTCGTAGGAATTTCCTTTCTAGAACTGCCAGTTTTCTTTCGTCCTCTTTTGATGTTGGCCATGTTTCACATGCGTATAAAATTACTGGTCTTACTAAAACTTTGTATAATCTCATTTTTGATTTTTTTGATAATAGCTTGGACCCGAAGGTTTTCTGTAACGCGAAATAACATCTGTTTCCAGCGTTTACTCTTAGGTTTATTTCCTCATGGTAATTATTGTGACTATTTATATTCACTCCCAGGTATTTAAAACTTTCTACTTTTTCGAAACAATAGTTTTCAATGTTCAAACTTCTATTTTGGTGTAGCTGATTACATCTTTTTACTATCATATATTTAGTTTTTCCTTCATTTATCATTAGTCCCATATTCATCGCACTGGTTATCAACTCCTCCGTGGTGGTTTTTATGTCCTCTTCATTTGATCCAAGTATCACTACATCATCAGCGTATGCTAGTAATGCATGCATTTGACCATTGAAACTGACACCTTTTGCTGTTTCTTGAACTTTCCTGACAACCTCCTCTAACGCAACGTTAAACAATATTGGTGACAAGGCATCCCCTTGTTTTAAACCTACTGTTGTCTCGAATTCTTCTGAGTAATTGTTTCCTACTTTAATTTTACATCTTGATTCTTCAATGCATGTTCTCACCATTCTGACTAATTTTGATGGTATACCGAACTTTTCCATGCTTTTCCATAGTGGTTTTCTTTTGATAGAATCGTATGCCTGTTTAAAATCTATGAACAGTAGGTGTAATGGCTTATTGTACTCGTAATGTTTTTCTATTAACTGTCTTAGTGTAAACACGTGGTCAATTGTGGATTTTCCTGGTTTAAAGCCGCATTGGTATTCACCTACTATTTCTTTCGTATATGGTTTGAGTCTATTTAAGATAAAATTTGATAATATTTTATAAGCTGCATTGAGTAATGATATGCCTCTGTAATTGTGGCAGTCTTCTGGGTCCCCTTTTTTATATATAGGGCATATTACTGCTACCTTCCATTCTTCTGGTATCTGCTCTTGTTGCCATATTTTCTTTATTAGTTCCCATATATCATTAACAATTAGTTCTCCTCCCTTTTTTATGAGTTCGGCTGCTATCATGTCCTCACCCGGGGCTTTGTTATTCTTTAGTAATTCTATTGCTTCTTTAATTTCGTCTTTCCCCGGCATGCATTGATACTGTTCTACCGTTGTGAATACATCGTTATCCTGTCCTTGGTCTTCTATTTCAGGTTGGTTCAGCATTTCTTGGAAAAATATTTTGAACTCTTCAGCAATGGCTTGTTCGTCTGTTATCAGTTCATTATACTCATTCTTTATTATTGAAGATTTTGGTTTATATGGTTTTCTTATTTCGTTAGCTTTTCTAAAAAACATTTTAGAATCTTTGTAAGATTCTTCCATCAATTCGATCCGTTGTTTTTCCCACTCTCTTTTTTCTCTTCTTATTACTTTTTTCATTTCTCTTTGTTTCTGGGCTAGTCTTCTTTTGTTTTCTATACTACTTTCCATAATCACCAACGATTTTGCATTATCTCTTTCTTTTATTGCTTTTTCACAGTTTTCATTGAACCATTGTTTGTTATTTTTGTTGTTCACTGTACCAATTTTTTCTTCTGTTACCCCTTTTATCGTTTTACTTAATTGTGTCCAATGTTCTTGATAGTTTAGGTTTAAGTTGTTGACCCTTTTTTCTTTTAGTCCTTTTCTGTATTCATTAGCTATCTGTTCCTCTTTTAATTTGTCTAAATCGAACTTTCGGGAAGTTTTTCTTTTTTGATTCCATTTGATTGGTAGTTTTATATGTAGTTTTACCTTGACTAGGAAATGGTCTGAGTGGCCACTCACCCCCCTGTAGCTTCTTACATCTTGTATGCTATGTTTGAGTTCTTCATCAACCACGACATGGTCTATCTGGTTTTTTGTATGCCCATCAGGTGATATCCATGTTTGTTTATGTATTTCTTTGTGGGGGAAATGCGAGCTACTGATAGTCATATTTTTTGACATCGCAAATGAGATAAGTTTGTTTCCATTGTCGTTGGATATTTCATGTAAGCTGTGATTCCCAATTGTAGGTTTGAAAATTTGTTCTTTACCGATTTTTGCGTTCAGGTCTCCTATTATAATCTTTCTGGTCCTATGAGGAATACTATCATAAACTCTTTCTAGTTGGTTGTAGAACACTTCCTTAGATTGGTCCTCTTTATTCTCGGTTGGGGCATGACAGTTTATTACTGCGATGTCTCCCCATTTACATTCCAACTGTATTGTACAAATTCTTTCGCTATGTGGTATGAAGTTTTTAACGAATGGTAATATACTGTTGTTTACTATAAACCCAACACCATATTCATGGCTGCGTATTTTGCAAATGTGGGTACACTCAGAACCGGGTTGCTCTGATTGGCCCATTTGAATTCCCGCTTTTTTCTTATCACTTTATTTCAAATATCACTTTATAACTATCAAATATCAAATCGTGATAATATATAATGTGTTCTAATATATAATTTAAATATAATTTAAATATAAATCTAAATATAATTTTTTTATATTTTTTTATAATTTTTTTTATTAAAAAATATAGTAAATATCAAAATATCAAATATCAATAACACTCTTATCACTTTATATCAAATATCAAATCGTGATTATTACGTTATTATTTTTATACAGATAAATATACTTTAAGTGACTATAGTAATTTTGTATGTCAGCTAGTAAATTATAATACAATAAAATCGAAACTTTATAATAATCCACCTTAATTTAATTATATTATATTCTAAATCTGAACAAAGTTAGATAACGTTGTAAATATTAAATACTATTAATAAATATTAAAGAGAGCAAATATTGTAAATAGCAGGAATTCTTAAAATATATACCTGCAGAACAGTAGTATACTAGAAAAAAAAAATAATACATGATTTTATAATTGTTTTATTAGTGAGATTTGGCATTATTTATATTTAAATTTAAACATTGCGTTAAATTATGAAGACGCTTAGGCTGCTTGATTTTTTTTTTTGTAATTGTATGTCTACCAGCTGTGCAGTAACTTTCTGTAGGAGGTCTTCCTGCATTAATTCGATGCGTACCCTTGTAGTTTCCGCATCTCTTAGCCACTGAAGTAGGTTGAACACGAATACGTCTTCCTCGTTTAGAACTAAAGTAATAAGTATAAAACAAATGAAGTACCATAATAATATTGCATATTTGTTATTACAGTTATGAAATAGTTATACTAATTAAATATTTACCTAGAAGCACTATTAATAACAAAGTCTACAGCTTGAGTTGGAGTAATTTTACTTTGTATATTTTTTGTTAAAATAGTCAAATATTTTAATGATGTTTCTGAAACATCTTTTTGTAAAACAAGTCCAAGGTTATTTATTGAGTTTGAAAATTCTGTCCACTTTTTCGAAAATTGTTCGTTTAACAACTGCTGGCTAGGTACATTATTAGATGAAGTAACATGTGAGTGTAATTGTTGGTCTTTTGATTCACTACAGTTATTTTGATCACTTTCTGACACAACTGTTATAGTTTGTTCAACTAAGTTATTTTTCTCCATCAGAGATGTTTGAGGAGTTGATAGTTCATAGACATCCTGTAATAATTACAAATTTCACATCAGAATTAATCTAATAATTGATTAAATTTTGTTTTATAGTATACTTTACATCAAAAAATGATTTTGGTGGACACTCATCACCAAGAGCAAGCAAAGCTAGAATATAGCGATCATTACAATTAACTACTGGACAATTTGGAAATACTTTTGAGTTTGGAAAATTTTTTTTCAGAAAAGCTTGGTGTTTGCAAAATCCTCCTTGTTGACCACTATAGCAGCTACACCAACCAACTGTAGTATTAACCTCGTACATTTTTTTACTGTCTTTAGTACTAGGCACTTTAAATACATTATCATCTATTTGCACTACCGTACATATATCTACTGTTGACATTCGTGTAAGCTGCATTTCAAAATGGCTTTTTGATCTTCTGTTATAAGCAAAATCTAACAAGCGGTTGATAAAATATTTATCCCAAATTATAGCAATAAATTCAATAAGTGCAACTATATTATAAGCTTTTGTGCGTTCCAAAACAATTTCTTTTAAAATACGAATAGATGCCTCAGAATAATTATTTGTGTGATTATTTCGTGTTATAAGATTATTACTATTTCTATAAAGCATTGACCACTGATTGCTTCTTTTTAAATTTTCATGTAA